TTTGGATGCTTATCTTGCTGGGATCCTGCCCCTGGGCCAAGGGACTGGACTAGATGATCCTCCTGGGTCCCATCCAACCCAAATGTCTATGAAATCTATGAAATGTCTATGAAACTGAGGCAGACAGCTGGGAGTTTGGGGCTGGAAACTGAGGCAGACAGCTGAGAGATTGGGGGACAGATAAGCGGTGGCAAGAAGGAAACAGTCAGGAAACACACAAAAACCCAACTCAGGGTTTCAAAATAACAGGTTTATTAAACAGATAACACACTACACAGCCCCATGATGTTACTGGTTCCCCCCCACCACACACACACACACAAGCAGTCACAATGGCAGCAGGAGAAAGAGATTCAGTGGAAGGGTTAGAGTCCAGGTAGGGAAGAGAAACAGAGTCCAAGTCCTTGGTTGAAGAGAGGGTGGGGGTGATAGGTACCTATCCAGGCGGGAAAGGGGTCTTTGTCCAGCAGGTGTTGTCCAGAGGGGGTCACCCGCAGGGGCTCTGGGTGGATAGGTGGTGTGGCATGATGCTGGTCCAGATGGAGAGGGTGTCCCAAGGAGTCAGTCTTCACTACCCCTTTTTATAGGACAGACTACCTCTGATCTCCTATGGGGAGGGCCTGTCCAGGCAATGTCAGTCCTGTTCCAGAGGGCTCCAGGTGTTCTTACTGAGCATGTGCAGCCTTGGCACAATGGTGGGTTGCCTCATCTTCTGTTTCTTAAATGCTGAGGGTGGTTCCACTGGCTGGGTCGTTGGTCCAGGTACTGGTTTTAATGGTTCGGTCATTCAGAGGCAGCTATTTTTGGGCCTATTGCCATCGTCTCTCAAGGACCCTCATTCATCCCCATTCACTCAGGAACCAAGTTACATAGGAGTGGTAGGTATGAGTCATAGGTTACACAACAAGGCATGGGGACAAGATGGAGACTTGACATGACTTATGCTAACTTATATATGTAGGCCTAAATCGTATAGTATCAGTAAAACAGTAATATAGAACAGTAAAAATCAATATAAATACAATAATTATACAATATGAAGAAGGAGAAAACACAAAACAAATATAACTTGCTACCAAAATAAAATGCTGAAGCTTATCCTATGTCTTAGCTCACTCATACTTATCTATAGGAAACAGAGAGGGAGAGAAAAAGTCAGAAATGGTTGGGGAAGGGGAGGGAATGCATTTTAAAATAAAACAAAAAACTGGGGGTTTTGCTACAGCTGTACAGGTATGAAAAGGTTCAGTAAAGCAGTAAGAAAAGAATGATATATTTTTTCACACCATGGAAACAATCTCGAGGGCCCTTCTTGAGACTAGCCCAAAACCCCTCCCACTCAACATATAAAAAAGAATACTACATTTCTGGTGCCATTGCAACAAATGTCACATCACAAAGCAACGTAGGATCAATCCAAATACAAGCATAATCCATTTCTGCACATCATTACACTCTACACTCAGCAATTCTAAACTCTTGATCAACTTGACCCAACAATCCTGCTTAAACTAAATAGTACCCGAGACGCTACACCAGGACCCAGAATATTGTCCTCTAAGTCGCTGGGAAGAAGAAATATAGAACAGGAACAAGTTAAGCTACTACAGATTCCTGCACAGAACTCTTGTATCACTAGACCAGCTCCTCACAACTAAAGCAGGCTCTGGCTAAGTAACATAAAGTGGAAGTGCAGTGCTGGTGGAAATGACAAGACATAACACAATCTAAACAGAGACAGAACTGCAGCCAATTGAACAGAAGAGAGCTTGAGAGAGGGAGGCACTTTCTACTCCACCATCCAAAATATGAGAAAGTGTAAGGAAAATACTTACTCAAAATATCAGGAACATGTGAGATTTTTCTTCAGAAAGCAATGAGGAAAAAACCTGCACCCTGATCCTAGGAGAAAAGAGAGAGACAGCAAGAGGTGACATCTTGCTACATGGTAAAATGCCAGGAATGGACAGTACTAGGAAACAGACACGAGAAAGTCCCTCCCCACATCCCTCACAAACCTATCCTAGATTAATCTTGTTTTCTTTGGCCATACCAAAAGCGCCAAAATCTTTCTTTGGCATCCCTTGAAACTTAACATGTCAATAAAGTATCCTTTATTTGGACTTTGCCCATGCTATGCTTAGTGGTGTCATGAAGACGTCTTCACTGGGTCAATGTATGGTAACAGTGCTGTTGCATAATCAAGATATATGTTAGGAAAGACGGATAGAAGCTGGATCTACTTGGATACTGCTGATATTTTTGTCCCCAACCTCCAAAACATTCCACCAAGAAAGAGAGAAAGTCTGGTTCATCCTACAGCAGACAAAAAATCTGGACCCTCAATCATCTTGTATCATGGTTTTCAGCACTAGAAAAATCAAGCCCAGTAGCTAGATCCTGCTATATGGAACCAACTTTTGGCTCTGAATACCCATATTTGAAGATCTGGTCTGGTTATAAGAAAATTTTAGCTACTTATACAGCACCAACTGCTTACAGTTTCCAGAGCACAATGAAAATTGGTCCATAACCATTGCAAAATCCTGGATGCAACACTCTATCCAGCTGGAGATGAACAGGGAGCTTGGCAGTTCACCCAGTTCACCCAAACTGCTAAACTTGACAGCCTCAATGCAAAACAAATGCAGTTGCTTCTATTTCACTGGAAAAATCTAGACCATATAATGTATCTTAGCTAACTAGTACTGGAAGAGCATGTACCTGGAGCCAAGCAGTGTTTAATTGCTAATAATTCCTAAATGTGACTCTGTTAACTAGGGGAAAAAATGCACTAGCTCCTAGTGAGCCAAAAAAGCCTATCAAAACCTGTTGCAAAAAGATGGAATGACATGAATTCTCCCTCATCGAGCCACCTTTTTTTTTCACCCTGAACACCCAAATTCTATAAGATACACAAAGAGCAACTATTGTATTCCCACCATAAAATCCATGCCACAATGCACCTTGTAGCACCATAAATATGTGCCCAGCACTTAAAGCCTGCCAAATTGTACTCTAAAATTAGACAGCGCATAAATGAGACCAAATACACCTGCTCCTAGTCCATTATAAAAATCTGGTCCCCTGAAATGTCCAGGCAAAAAAGATCCAGATATGGGCCTGGGACCAGCAGGATCCCATTCAGTTTTTCAACCTGCAACCCCAAAGTTTTGCTTCTAGAACAAGCATTGCCTTCCTTTTGACTAAATCTGCAGTTGGGTATCCCCTGAATGAGAAGCACTTTCTTGATATTTGTAGAGAAGTACCTGGCCATGTTAGCCTGATGTTAAGTGGAGGGCAGGGTAGATTTGCACCTTACAGACTAACCAAAGCAGCTTTTATATATATATATATATATATATATATACACACACACACACGAGTACACTGTTGGGTTAGCTACCGTTCTGAGTAGCCCCATGTTTGATAAAAAGAACTAGATCCGTTGTTCTCAGCCTTTAATGGATATAGGGTTCCCTTGGTTTATACAGGTTCTGTATGTGCGAATTTGCTCTTATGCAATGACCCTTTTTTATACCAAAAATCTGTTATATGCAAGGTAAATTCACCCTTTTCAATCAGTGTGGTGGAAGCCCACAGTCAGCTGTTTGTGCGGTGCATTGTGGGAGTGACATGCACCAAAATATAGTCTCCCGCGTGGATCTGTGCTCCTCGCTCATTGTCTGCGACAAGTTTCTGTAGCTGCCATCTCCATTAAGATAGCGCCCTGTGCTTGTGTGGACTGTCTGCTGTTGGTGAGTCCAAAATTGTCTTGAAAAAGTGGTAGAAATGGGTCTGGGGTCAGTACAGTCGAGGTCTTAGAATGTATCCCTATTTGTTGCATTGTAAAGTGGGCTCCCGTTATGTGAATTCGAGTTATGCACCGTTTTCCAGGAATGCATGTACAGCATAAAGTGAGGGAAACCTGTATATATATGTGTGCATGTAACATAGTGCAAGTTTTCATGAGCTGATGAACAGACCCTCCCTATGCCTGAAGAAGAGCGTTTGTGCCTGAAAGCTTGCGCAAAGAACAACTTTTCCAACTACGTAGTTGGCCTAATAAAAGCTCTCCCATTTACCCATGTCCGCAAGGGGCCAGCAGGGGAGATTATGCTTAGGGGCAACCAACATGGGTTCATTAGAGGCAGGTCCTGTCAGACCAACCTGGTGGCCTTCTATGACCAGTCACAAAATCCTTAGACGCAGGTGTCATGGTGGACATAGTCTTTCTGGACTTTAGGAAGGCCTTCAACACTGTCTCTCACCCCATTCTCATTAAAAAACTAGGAGACTGGCATCGACACCTACACAGTCAAACGAGTCACTAGTTGGCTAGGAGGAATAGGCTACAGTTGGACCTGGACAGGTTACAGGGGTGGGCAGATGAGAACAGGATGGGTTTCAATACTGACAAGTGCAAGATACTGCACCTGGAAAGGAAGACCCACTGGTCAGGTCGCAGCTGGAGTACTGCATCCAGTTCTGGGCACCGCACTTCAAGAGGGATGTGGACAACGTGGAGAGGGTCCAGAGGAGGCCACTCGCATGGTCAGGGGGCAGCAGGGCAGGCCCTATGAGGAGAGG